CCACTTTACGTAAATTACTGTTTTAGAGAAAACGGCTGCAAAATACTAACGCACAGACCCTTCTACTGTCAAAAAAGTAACAATTAGAAATTGCATTAGTAATGACTTCTGACGCAGTAACTGCTCAATCCATATTGAATGCCCTGAAAACTTCATTAAGTAGTTAAATGTGCGCAACTACAACTGAAAATCAGCTTCTAATTTTCAGATTTTAATGTAAAAATAAAAATAAAACCAGACCTAATAATCTAGTTCCCCCATCTTGTCCTACTTTAATAGTGGCATGGCTGGATTAAAGCTATTCCCCGAGATTTGCGGTGAATATGTGGATGTTATTATTCTGGGTTGTGACGGCGGGCGGACTCCTAAGTTCATTTTCCGGTCTGCACTGTGTACGCTATATGTCCAACACTGCAAGGTATGAATGAAAAGTGAATAGGATTAGCGAAGTTAGAGGAATGTGGAAGCTTTCGCCTGTAGCAAGCAAGAAACTCCTTGGCAAATATCAATCAAGATGGCCAGTTCCTCAACTGACATTCGAACCAGATACCTATACTGTGTAGCGTTCGTATTTGTGCAATATTGTTACTTAATTCATGCCAATTATAAAAAAAAGATGGATGTTCTCTGGGTTGTTGCACCGTGTCGTGTGGCAGAAGATTGCCGACGTTTCAAAATACTCCTCACCGCGAGATCCGTAATCCCATTATGGTAGACGTCTTCAACTTTCTGTATTATAAAATTCATTCCAGACTTTTTATCTCCATATAGAAGTAATTAACTTGAATTTCACACTTATCTGTGAGGTAATCATGAAAAATTCGAGATTTCTTTCTATAGACGTAAATTGTATAAATAAAACAAAATAACACAAAGTATGCAAACTGGCACAGACAAGAGGTTGATGTAAAATTGCACTCCGGCAGCAAATCTGAAAAAGAATGTAATACGGCTCTACAAAATGTTTTCAAGAATATGAATAAAAAAAGGCCTCCTCCCCTTACAAAGCTGAACTTCAAAGTTACGTTCGACAATTACACTTACTTATAAAATGCATATTGTTGACTTGCAATACGCGTTTAAAGGTACGTGCAAAATTCGTTTAAAGCAGGGGTTCTCAGCCTTTTTCGCTGGCGTACCACTAATTCTAATTTAACACAGTAAATATACCAATAACCAAATGCGTTCAGCGAAATCTTATTTATCTTAATATTATCCGTTGATTTTCTTACTTAGTTCGCGTACCATAGGTTGAGAAACGCTGGTTTAGAGTATTTATAGTTATAATATGTTTACTATTCACGCCGAATTCGATAACATGTGAAGATAATGACAGAGAGCTGTTCCCATCGAAATTTTTGTTCATCCCAATCGCGTGACAAATGCCAAGTGTTTAATAATTTCTTTCCTTTTCGCAACATCCCTGCCCCCTGCTTTTGACATAACGATCAGTGCTCCTGGGACTTAATTCTGGTCAAAACAAGTTTGTTGCTTTATTTGTTTCAGATGTTACGTTCCTGTTCTTCATACTTATATTCCTTATATTATACGTCGCAAAGTAATAATACGCCTAATTTTATGAGTTAGCTACCCGGCGGCTTAAAAAAATACCTGCCAATAAAGCACCAGAAACTTCCACAAAATTTCAAATGGTCAACAACAAAACATATTTATTTATTATTTGTGGTTTGCTTAACGGCGCTGTCAGTAACACGGGTATCAAATTACAGGATTACTTATAAACGATGAATTCGAAAGAATATGGAAGGAAGAGATCGTTGCCTTACTGACAGCAGTTACTCGGAAAAATCACATCATAGGTTATTATTACTTTTATTACCACTGCTATCATTATCGTCATCATTTAACACTAGTGGAAACAGCCGTTAAAATTCAAATGGAAATTATTTTTTTCTCGCTTTCATCAATCACCTCTTAAACACCTCCCCTTATTCATTTCGCATCTTCGTGTTCCTTTATCTTATCTTCCATTTGTCAGTAGATTGCAGAAGACGAACGAAAAGCAACGTCAATGAAAAACATTAGCCGTGCTACATACTACATTATTAAACACGCTGAAATAGAGTGAATTTCTGAGTGACGGTTTTCTATGTTCCTGTGAAATTTCATAGATACACCACGTGAATGTTACTGCTATCTTCTGGGAGATATGAACTTAACAGTGCACACTGCGAAATCTAGCAAACAACCAAAAAGCATCAGACTGGCCGGCTTACATTGTGCATAATACGGGTTAAATCGCCTTTACTGCACGCCAACACCGAGAATTTCATGTCGACATTTGTTATTTTACTGTATTTCATCACAGCCTCTAATTTGCATATATTTTAAATCGGTACACGTGCGCCTAATAGGCGGAACTCGAGCTAAATGTTACATGCGGGCCTGGCCGCACCACATCTCAGGCGGTCGGCAGCATGCTTCTCACCGCGAAGGCCTGGGGTCGCGTCCAGGTCAGTCCACGTGGGATTTATGGCCCGTCAGAGGCCCAGTTCCACAGAGACAACAATCCACACAACCTTTTAACCTATCGAATATAAACCGACCGAATGCTTACTGATTTTGAAATTGACTTATGCACTCTATGGTATTGTTTGAAAAGTCGATTGTTACTCGGCTTGTCAAACAATACGTCACTTTCTTTATGAAACCCGAAGGTTCATCACCGTGTTCACAAAAGCCCGCCATCGAAATCTATTCTGAGCTAGCCGCATCCAGTTGGCTCCATCGATTACTATCTCCCTAAAGTCCATCTTAACATTATCCTCCACCTACGCCTAGGTCTTCCCAGCGGTCTCCTCCCTTCAGACCTCCCAACCAATACCTCATAAACACCCCTCTCCTTCCCCATGCGTGCCGCATGTCACGCCCGCATCACCCTCCTGAATTTAATCACCCTAACAATATCAGGTAAACGGTTCAGGCCGTGAAACTCATCATCATGAAGTTTTCTCCCTGATAAGTCCTCCTCCCTTTTGGTCCATATATTTTCTTTAATATTCTGCCCTCAAAAATCTTCAATCTATGTTCCTCCCTCAATGTTTGCAACCAACTGGCAAAATAACACTTCCGCCTATTATAACCATGAGTGTTTTTTATGAGACGGAAGGGCAACAGCCTGGACTGAATAATAACAAGCATTCTCTGAATTTAACTTGCTCTTGATTTCGTTACGAATGTCTGACTTGTTAATGTCGTCCCCATTTTGTCACATTTTTGAATGATTCATTAGCTGTCCTTAAATTCTGGTTCTGTCCTGAATTCTCGTAACGAGACATGATAATTTACCTTGTCTTTTCTGAGCAATTCAAAGTAATTAATTGGTAAGCGTACTTAAGCAAAGACTGTTTCTTCCGTTTACGTGATAACTCTAGTATTCAATCAACTGCACTCAATAATGCTCATGAAAGATATCCCCGTTCTGTAAAATATACGATAACAAAATCAGAGCTGCAATTCTACATCACAAAAATTAAAAAAAAACTGAAAAATGTTTACTTTTAGAACATCAACCACATGTCCTGCTTTCAAGGAGTTTATCTCTTTCGTGTAAGCATTTCAAATGTTAGGAATTATATCAAAATGCATTTTAGATCCACGTCAAATCAATATGAGGAAAATTTGCTTGAAGTCAGCGAGTTACTCAGACGCAATTTATTGTATGCCCCCACCACTGACACCGTTTCATATTTTTCTGTATGCTTTATATTAAAAGACTGTTATAGTGCGCAAGGCCAATATGTCACTGTTTCACTCTTTACTTTCTGGGATCAAGTGCTCTTTCCCCACTTTTTGTTGTTTCAAAATCTGATCGCCCTATTGTGAATAGAACATGCACTTGAAACTACAGAACGTACCATTTAAAACGCAACTACACAATCACGACCATTGCACAAAAATTCATTACCCTCTCCCAACCTTCTCCGTGACAGTCCAGTCAAGGTCACCCTTGTCCCTAGGCCGCCGCTCATGCCAGTAGGAAACATGGTATTCAGAAGCAGAACAAGTGCTCATTCTCGAACATTACTTCGCACAGAAATCGTTTGTTGTTACTCATTAAACACAACACTGGCAAACTTTTGCCGACATTGACCCAGAAACACTTAGCAAAGTCGCACGCAACATACCAAAATGTTTTGTAATTTCCTAACAAATAATAATAATAATAAAATAGTTCGTCTCGTCATGTTGTTGTCACCAAAGCTTACAAATACTGTTGAAGTTAAAGCTTAATTTCAAATGAAACACTGTGTATACATATTCTGTAACCTTAAAAAAATATCAAGGCCGGAGGGAAATTCATAACATTTAGTAAATAGAGATTTTTGAAACCCGAAAAATGTTCAGATGACGCATAGGCATATATGTGTTCAAGACGCTTGTTTCCTTCTGGAAAGAATTAAGAATAATATATAACATTGCCTTATTTCGTACAGAAACGCAAACACTTCAATACGATAACTCATAATAAAATAAATTCGAACTGAGCTCGAAGATCTTACGCTGTCATCAACAAAGCTATTAAATAAACACAAATATGAACGCCGAACAGGAAGAATACGTCGTTCCTTTATGGATTAATGGAATGGTATTCTGAAAAATGACATTTCATAAAGGACATAAATTAAGCTTTTCAGAACATTCTATTCCAAATTCTGCCTTTTCTCACACTTATTACTGGAATCATCATCATCATCATTAATAAGACATTATTTATCACCGATTAGGAATGCCCATACAGGGCATCTTTTGCTTTTTGAAAGAACACCTCTTTCGCATATTAGGAAATAGTTTTTGAGTTAATTTCAATTTTCAAAACACACTACTACGATACAGATAGTCAATGAGCAGACACTTAGAAGTACTTCGCGTGGGAGCCTCACTGTCACGGCCGTGAAAAACACAAGACGGTGTGATTGGTCGAAATTTGACAGATAATAGCAGAAAGGATTACAATACATAGCAGGAAAAACACTTACCCAATCTTTCTCCGGTTTCCTAAATTCTTAGGATCCCGGCTCTATCCATGTTCACGAAGAGAAGATACACACATTAAATCCGTTGAGACACACATTTATCACAGCTATGCACTTGTGTCTCATAATTTCTTGCACAATTTCAGGAATAATCTTCCAACATCTTCAACCCCAATTCAGCCATGTTGAACTGTACAAAACAGATTTCAATATCAGCGCCATCACGTAGAATACTGCACAACTGTCGTAATTACTACATATATCGTGTGTATAGATCGCGCCAGCAATCACTTTGAGATTGCAAATCGAGTTCAGCGATAGAAGTATCGATTGTTCGGTATCGCAACACAAAGTGTCTATTACGCATAATAGATGTCGATAAGGAACATGTTTTGGACACGTACTTCCTCCCAACAAAACAAAGAATCGGAAT